AATTTTCTGTGAACAAAAAATATCTGAGAAATGGTGTGGAAGATGCTTGAACTTGAAATTTGATCTGCATGTGTAAAATCACCTGAAAGATATTGATCCAAATGATACTTGCTGCTTGGCTACATCCCTTTTTATTAGACTTGGTGCTTGGGTACTTGGATTGCAGGTACAATTTTTTTCTTTTTTTTTAATTTCTTTGATTAGCAACTATGTGCACGTCCCAATTTTTTTTTGACTCTTCTCCCGTTCAGATATACTTTGCAACTCTACTGTGACTCTTCTCGCGTTCATATGTAGACAAGTTGGAGCCCTTCTTTGTATATGGATCTTGCTTTTAGATGTCATTCGAAGTTCTCTCTTGTCACATTACTTCATTTCTGATTCATGGAGATTTAGGTACATTGCCCTAGAAAGTTTGTTCTTTATATCATTTGTTTTCATGTGAAAGTTTGTTCTTTATATCATTTGTTTTCATGTGCCTTCTTGATTCCATCATGTTTTTCTGGCCTATCCATTGGAAAATGTGAGCCCACCTCCTAAAAGGAGGTATCGAAATAGTGATGGTAAGATGCAATGCAGGAAGAGCTCAACGCCCTTGAGCCTTACTAAATTTGGGTGTTAGTTCTCTTGCTGCTTGGAATAAGGACTACTTGCAAGTACATATACGAGGCTTTGAAGTTTTTCAGAGCTCTATAATGCTTATTTACAAGATTTACTAGAAACATAGCATCGCAAATTTGACAACTATGTCCGTGCCCTTGCTGACGAAATTGTTAGGCTGTGTTTCTGCACTTGATTGATGCACTGTTAGGCGTGGTTTCTAAGCCTCAGTTTCTTTGTAGTCTTCTATGTTTCTATGTTTACATCAGACCTTCGTTGCAGATGTTTGGTGATGTTGTAGTCTTTTTCTGATTTGGTTGATGGCTGTTTCTTGTCTCAAACAATCTCCTCAAGCCTTATTTGAGAGAATGCATTCGTAGTCAAACTTTCCTTTTTAATAGTTATAGTGTTTTATGCTCTAAATCTTTATATTCAAGCTTTTCTGAGTTGTTGATAAACTAAATGCATCGTGTGCTCTGTGCTTTCAAATATCTTCGGGTTAGTGCAATTGGGAGGGATGAAAGGAGCAAAGGAGAGGGATTCATGTATTCTATTCAGGGTCTGGAAGTCTGTGTATATGTCGGTCCTCATGTTTTTCAGGGACTTGTACATTTGTGTCTGTTATTTTTTTATTAGTCTAATTAGGTCCTCATGTTTTTATGCCATTTGGGTCTGTTTATTAATTTTTCTATTATTCTTGTTAAACTTGGACTCCAGGGTTGAGATGAAGAGTTTCACACCAGAGTGCTATGATCCGTGAACCTATTTTTTTTTCCTGTTTCCAAGTTCTTTTGGTGATGAAATCCATTTTTTGCAGGATGACAAATTTGCGAAGCTATTTACGATGTATGCTGCAAAAGTAAATGGATGCTTGGAAAGCATGTCATTCTCTTTTGATGGGGACAAAATTTCTCCGACTGCTAGCCCCTTTTCTCTTGGCATGGAAGACAATGATATCATTGAAGTCCACATTAGGCGTCAGTAAATCAGGTTATATTTGACACTTGTCTTCTTCTGCTTTTCATGTGTATGTTACAGTTTTTGTTCATTGTTCTTGATAACTTTGATCTTACTTAATATGAATCATGCAATCTAAAAGCATAGTAGCTTTATGATTGATCCCAAATTAAATTATAGTTTCGTGAAGCGTTAAGGTCTAATGTATCCCCCAGCATGTAGCAGTGAGCATACTCTCCACCTTCCTTTCTAAGTTCTGTTGAGTTCCTGTTGGATTATTCTGACTTTTACATAACTTTCTATCCATTGGTGTTGGTTTTAACTTATAATAATTTTCTTTGGAAAACCGGATGATGCGATTAGTTTCTGATGGCATTCTAATAATGGAACTTGTTCTAGAAGTCATTGGATGAGACTCAAGAGAAGCATGAAGAAATACTCATATGCAGGAGTAACTATTGTGGATGGCTGTAAATAATAGATCCTGTAAGGTTTTTAATTTTTCAATAGAATGATAATGCTGCTTCAGATCTTCCTATTGATAGATACTCTTGTCCATGATTGTTTCACAATAATAGATTCTCAGAAATTGGAAGCCCATCATTCATTCGCTTTAATGAGAAATTTGTCTAGCATCTTGATAGTATCCTTATAATCAAGAAACTGATGGCGTTTCTATAGTTGGCTGATATTAGGGTTAAAAAGGTGATGAAAATACATTTCTTTTTCTGTTTCTCTAACATGAATCTGTATTCCTTATAAATCTGGTAAGAGAGAGAGGTTGTGGCCTGAACTGAGTAAACCAAGGGACATGTTCAGGAGCTGGCATGTTGGACACTGTTCAACTTTCTATTAAGAAGAAAAGGAACATAGTCCTTTAAGGTATGGATAATGTTGAATTTGTCCGCTGCTGTAGGTTGAGTGATCTGCCTCTCAGAGGTGTTCATCTGAGAGGAACCTGTAATGACGCCCTGGGATTGCTTAAGCCTTAAAGGAGTGATACAGTGTCCTTTTGCCCTGTATCTGACCATATGCTGATGTTCCTATCCATGGTAACTTTTCAGAAAACAAGTTAGATGTTCCTGGGTATGAATCCAGCTAGGGAGGGCTGGCCTCTTTTCATTTTGGGAACGTCCTGTCTAATTTTAAGGTTCTGGACAATGACTTGGAGAATAGTGAACGTTTTATGAGATTAAGGGATGGTTGGGGTATATATTTCAGAATAATTGGTCAATCAGCAACTTAAAGGATGGCACAGAAGACGATCATGATTTGGAGGTTCCTGCCATATTAGAGGAAATAACCACAAACTTGAGGCATTAGATAGAGTGGCAATCTGTCAATCCAAGGCAGGAGGATATTAGCTGGAGGAAGAAATCTAGGAGAAGTGACTGAAGGATGAGGTTATGTGGATAAGTGACTTCCTTTAGATTTTAAATGCGTCGGTGTTGTAATTTCTTGGGAACAGTGAGGTGATGGAGAACAATATTAGGAATGATATTTGCATGGCCAATGTGGATTTGTGGGCTTTTTCCAAAGGTTGTATTTCACCAATAATATCAGGTGACTGAAAATTGATGTAGGATCATTATATGGTGCATCTGGTAGAGATAAAGCCTCGGTTCTGAATAGGTTTTATTTACCATGAATTTCTTTGGGGGTGCTACGATATTGTGAAAAGTGTTTAGTGGAATTATTTGAGTTCCATAAGAAGGCCCAGCTCAATAAATGATTGAATAATAGAATACAATTTCATGTACATCAATCCTTAGAGCCAAAGGAAAGGAGGATACTTGGGATTTCAGTTCCATTAGCCTAGTTGGAGGCATTGCCAAATTTTTGCCAAAGTGTTGTGGAAGATGCTATGGGAGACTTTAGGGTTTCTCTTCTTTCACCCCCTACAGGGGCCCTTCATTCAAGGAAGGGAGCTTTGGGATGGTGGATGACATGGTGTTGCAACAAAGGCTCAATCAAGGGATATAGACAAGGTTCCAACTATGTTTTTTGGGTTTACCTAGATTAGCTGCTCGGGAGGATGGGTTTGGGGCTTGCTGAAGATATTATAATGAGAACATGAATTGGGATAATATGTCTGATAAGTATATAATAACATGGTAAAATAGGAGGAATATGCAGGCAATCCTCATTTAGCATAATGAAAGTTCAAAGCATGCTTCTGAACTTACCCGATTGGGAGGGAAGGAAGCGGGAGGGAGGGAAGAAGGAGAGACTTAAAGGTCAGACAACTTGCTATATGTCAGTTACCAAAGGGTTCTCGAAGGAATTGAAGGGGGAATCAAGGGGTCCTCAGGTTGGTTATCTATTATGCAAACTGGATGTCCTAATGGCTCGTTTGGTTGGACTTGGTCCATCTCAAGGACTTTCGGCCAACTTGCTATAGGTTAGTTACCAAAGGATCCTCAAAGGAATTTAAGGTGGAATCAAGCATCTCCATGATCTTATAATGCCCTTGTCTAATGATGGACTGCCATTTTGTGATACCAATGCCATCTGTTTGGACACCTTCATGATGATTCCTTTGATTCTATAATATCCCTTGAATTTTTGCCTGCTTGCAATAGAACTAAGGTGTCTGCAATCATTACAGGCTTCGCATTGTTGTATTCATTTCATCTAATAATCCTTGCAGTTTAATCAGCATATGTCAACTAAGGGTTTTGGTCTAGGGGTTCTGTGACTCTTTGTCATTATTTTCTAATTTCAATAACTTTTCGTTTTTTATGATAGATCATCACTTTCACAAAACGGAAGAACTAGAATCTTGAAAAGAGAAGAAAAGGGGACTTGGAGTGATTTGATTTCTCGCCAGGAGAGGAAAAAGATAACATAAAAAGGATGTTAATTGATCTTATCTGCTTGTATCCATGAATTCATCTGTTTGTTGTGTTTTAGCATGCTTTTCCCAGTGGATGTCACGGTGTAGTCTGCTCTACTGCAGGTTTATGCTCTTTTTGATCAGGTGAAAGTAAAGTGTTTCAGTTTGAGAACATCAAATTTAAGACTCACTTTTTAAACTCTAGAAGCAAATACAAGGACTTCAACAATGACAATTTTGGAAAGGCTTCTAGCTGCATCCAGAGGGGGTGTTTGTCATTTTTGGTGGGCACTTTGTACTTGGGGGCAGCTTTGGTTGCTTTTAGTCCTATAAAGGTCACAAGGTTTTGGCAATTCACCCCTAACAATGCTATTAGTTGTGGGGTACTGAATGCAGGGAACTTTTAATTTTCATTGCTAAAATACATGCTCATTGATCCTCACCTTTTAAGTGTAATATGTACATGTATGTATGCACGCATGTCTATATAGTATTTAGCCGACCCCAATTAGTTGGAAAAAAGTTTTGATGATGATGATCTATATAATATTTCTTGACATCTCCCTTGTGTGAATTTTTCTAACCTGCGCCAATATTTTGGAACCTAAATGCCTCTATCCTTTAGCAGCCATTTTTCCATGGTCATTTATCATGGGGTATAATGAAAAGTTAGATGCATTTGTTTGGTGCTAACTCACCTAACAATTAACAGTCTTGACTTACATGGGGAGGTTTTTGTGCGTCAGCCGATGCGACTATTAAAATGCGCTCTCCAACTCAGAACCTATCCCATGTATGGATCTTGGATCCAAAATTTTATCGGTCCATGCTATCGACAATGATCGAGTCTTACAAAAAAAAAAAAGAAAAAAAAAAGAAAAAAAAAAAGAAGAGGAAAGAACAGATTTTTACCCTTAAAAATAGTCTCTTAAATTTTCTTTCAACCATTCTTTTAATTCTTCACAGGTCATTAGATCTGCACATTTTGAGCCCCAAAACAGGGATCTAAAGTGGCATTCATGCCCTAAATCTATTAAAACTTACTTGTGGACTGAAGACGCATTGAGAACCATAGATGAGGGAACAAGATCTGTACAATGGGAGGTAAAGGATCGAGTTCCTAACATGGAAGGATGCGATCTAAATTTGTTTTGGATCGACTGATAGAATATATCGGACTGAATCCATCAAGCTTAGAATTGCTGATCGTGAAGATTACTTAACTAGTGTACTTTGTTTCGGGAACAAATTCTATCGAACAATTAATTTTCTCTGAATTCAAAAATAAAATTATCACCTTGAAATACTCTCTTGGTTTTTTGTTATCATTGGAGTGTGTTCTACATGCGAGAGGTGAAACTAAAAACATAATATGAGAATTCAAGCCTCAAGTCTTCGTGCACCAAAAAAGCTTTGGTGTCCTTGACCTTGGTGATATGGTCAATGAAAGGGGAATATGGACATTGGGGGCTTTTGCGATAAGAACTACATCGTCTCCAACTTCTTTGGTGGGGAACATCATGATCGATCGATCTCTCTCTCTCACATACACACGTACATTCACTGAGTGCTGAGAGTAAACTATGTAACTCCCCTTTTGGAGGTGAACTGAATCTGGAGAAATGATAGAAATGGGGAACGTAGAGGAAGCTTTTCATAGAGGCCGTCATGTCCTCTCAAAATAGTGAAAGAACCTCTCTTTAGCTATCAAAATTCGTATAATACACATCCGGTATGTGGCATAATATACACCTTTGGTCATTAATCGAATTTTATCAAGTTCAATAATGGAGGTGAACCATGTTCTTGGATGAATCTAGGTCCTTGGAATTCTGGTATTTATCAACCATCCTCGAGGATGGACGGTCGAAGCTGCATTAGTGATACACATGCACAACCTGGATACAGTATGGTACTTTATTTGAGGTTTCCCATTTCATTGGCGTGTTTTCTTTAATCTTTCACCAACATCATTCGAATTTTTATTCTCAGAGATTTTCTTGTAGGGATTTTTGGCACTTATTATTTAATTTCATGTCAGATGCAACTTTTGGCTGGAATTTTGGCCTTATCTAGTGATCGAAATTTATATATGAGAGCGAGAGAGAGAGAGAGAGAGAGAGAGAGAGAGAGAGAGAGAGAGAGAACTTTGGCCTTTTCTAGTGATCAAAATATGAGAGAGCGGGAGAGAAGTTGCTTATATCAATAAGAAGAGATAGAAGTTGTTGGCATTGGATAGTGGTGAGTTGTGCAAGTAGAAGTTCAATCCCATTTGAAAACAGTTGCTTTGGAAGCTCCACCATGTGAAGCAACAACCATACAAAGGAGGAGGAGCAAAATGAAGCACTAGAATCAACAGAGGGTGTTGTAACAGCAGTTGCTTTGGAAGCTCCACCACGTGAAGCAACAACCATATGAGATTTTGGGTGCCATGCTGGATATCCGATTCACTAAAAATATTTGCTGTGGTCATGGCCCACTCCACCACAATGATCACAAGTGGAGGCAAATCTTTGTTTTCTACGACCAGATGTTCTTGGGTTTTGAGGTGGACGAACACGCGAAGCTGCTAGGGCAGTAGCTTGTCAAGTAGAAGCGCTAGTAATTTGGAGACTTCTTTGCCTTTCTTCTTGCTGAACTAAAGAATAAACTTTGTTGATGGCATGGGTGCCATGGTCAGGATCGGGGTCCTTAACGTTTCAAAAGTCTCATTAGAGTCTTAAGAAATTAATAAACACGTTCAGATTGTAGATGGGCCTGCAACTCCTTGCTTACTCCACATGAATAAGATATCATATTGTGTAATAAGCCAACTCGTCCCACAATGTTTTTAAGGATGTGTAGTAAGCACAAATCGACAATTGTTCTTGTCGAAATATGGCTATAGACCGCTTCAATTCGTAGATTCTCGGACCATTTCCTTGAGAGAATCTATCTTCATTTCCTTGAGAGAATCTTCAAGGTCTAACTACACCTCACGGGGAGAATTAACATAACTCACGCTGTTGCCAATGTCAATAGAAACACTGTTGAGCAACCATGAAATTATCATATTGCTACAACGTTTCCAAGCCATAACTGTGAAAGGTGGAGAATTTGGTTTCTCCAAACTTTCATCAACGAAACATAGTTTATTCTTGGCTACAAGTGCCACTTTAATGACACGCTTCCAAGTGAGAAAATTGTCACTAGTAAGTTGTTGTGATACTAAAATTATACTAAGATTATCCGAAGGGTATAGGTAGAATGGTGAGGAATAATCGAAGGCATAGCTTCCTCCAAGCTCATCAACTGTCCTGCTGTCGACGCCATTGTTTCCAGGCATACCATGATTTGCTGGTGTCGTGTTGTTCTCGGAAGAGTCATTGTCTGTAGATTTGATCAATCAACAAAAGAACACAAGGAGGAGCAAATGGAGCAATAAAGTCAACAGAGTGTAGTGTAACAACTTATCATGGTATCAGAGCAGTAACCCAATTGAACCCATACGCAGTGTGTTGTTCATTCCTTATACTTTTTGCTTGCCTTGTGTTCCCTTGTTGATTGATCATGTCTACAGACTATGATTCTACCAAGAACAATACGACCCCAACAAACCATGGTATACCTGAGAACAATGGCGTCGACAGTTGATGAGCTTGAAAGAAGCTATGCCTTCAATTACTCATCACCATTCTACCTATACCCTTTGGATAATCCTGATATGATTTTAGTATCTCAACGACTTATTGGTGATAATTTTCCTACTTGGAAGCGTGTCATTAAAGTGGCACTTGCAGATAATAAATTATGTTTCGTTGATGAAAGTTTGAAGAAACCAAATTCTCCACCTTCCACAGTTATGGCTTGGGAATGCTGTAGCAATATGATAATTTTAAGGTTGTTCAACAATGTTTCCATTGACATTGGCAACAACGTGAGTTGCGCTGATTCTGTCCGTGAGGTGTGGTTAGACCTCGAAGATAGATTCTCTTAATGAAATTGTTCGAGAATCTATGAATTGAAGCGGTCTATAGCCACATTTTGGCAAGAACAATTGTCGGTTTGTGCTTACTACACATCCTTAAAAACATTGTAGGATGAGTTAGCTTCTTATACAAAGATGTCATCTTATTCATGTGGAGTAAGCAAGGAGTTGCATGCCCATCTACAATCTGAAGGTGTTTATCAATTTCTTATGGGTCTAAATGAGACTTTTTGAACGTTAAGGACACAGATCTTTTGCTGTAGAACCCATGCCAAATATTAACAAAGTTTATTCTTTAGTTCAACAAGAAGAAAGACAAAGAAGTGTCCAAATTACTAGCGCTTCTACTGGAGAAGCTGCTGCCCTAGCAGCTTCGCGTGTTCGTCCACCTCAAAACCCAAGAACATCTAGTCGTAGAAAACAAAGCTTTGCCTCCACTTGTGATCATTGTGGTGGAATGGGCCATTACCGTAGCAAATGTTTTGCATTACATGGGTATCCAACATGACACCCAAAATCTCATATGGTTGTTGCTTGACATGGTGGAGCTTCCAAAGTAGCTACTGTTACAACACCATTTGTTGTTTCTACTACTCCATTTGCTCCTCTTTCTTCAAGTGGGACTAACTTCCAGTTGCACAACTCACCACCAGCCAATACCAACAACTTCTATCTCTTCTAAATGTTGATGGACAACTCTCTATGGCAAACTTTCCAGGTATACAACAGTGTAACTGTGCATCCCACTCTCCACTTACCTCTTGGGTAATTGATTCAGGTGCTTCCAACTGAGGACATGGAGGCACTACTTGCGTTCGGTCTAGATTTGTGGTCAAGACTGATAATGTGGCCACAAGCTACTTTGCTACACGGAAGAAGCTTTCTCCAGGCAGGAGTTCCTGGCGGAGTTTGACTTTGTGTTGGAGTCAAAGTATAAGCCAAGAAGAACTAACCAAGTAGCAAATGCCCAGGAAAGCTGAACTTGTTGCTTTGAAGGGGGAAGAGCTAGCTGCCATTTGCAGAATACAAGGGACCTTGCCTGAGAGGGGAAGGTTTAGAGAAAGACCCCTTCTTGGTGGCCCACCTCACATCCAACTTATCCTTTCTTTCTCATGCTACTAAAAATTCCAATGCTAAACCTGTATGCCTTCCAAATGGTACTAGCATGCCTGTCACTCATACTGAAAAGTCAATTATTTCTTCCACTATTATGTTAGATGATGCCCTTTGTGTACCATCTTTCAATTTTAATCTATTCTATATCAGTAAGTTAACTGAATCATTGAATTGTGTTGCTATTTTATTTCCAACATTTTGTGTCTTTTGAGACCTGAAAACGAAGAGGCTGATTGGATTGGTTGAGATGAGAGATGAGATGTATCACCATGTTTAGCTAAGGGAAAATAAATAAGTTGCACTCCCTGCCCATCACGGTTCTTGCTCTGAACTTTGGCATCGAAGATGAGGACATCCATCCCAACATAGTTTGGCTAGTTCATCTTCATCTCATTTGGATATTTTTCCATGTTTTGTTGCATCTTGTGATGTATGCATTTTAGCTAAACCAACACATTTCCCTTTCTTTGCTAGTTTG